ATGGGTGCCGCTTGGCCAGGGGCCCCGCGGCTGGCAGAGGGTTGGGGGCAGGTGAGCTGGGTGGTGTGACTGGCACGGCCCAGGGCAGCCTTTCTCCTTCCGCCTCCACGAAGCTGCCTGACACCAACCCAACCACAAGGCGCCCCAGCCCCTTCCTGTCTGCCTCTGCAGGGCCCCCCACCCACCTCCAAACCGCCTTGCCCCTCATGCCACTGCTGGGGAACAGCTGGACTGGGGCGGGGAGACCCGGCTCCCCCATGAGCCACTTGGGGTCATTCCCCTTGATTTCAGCCCCCGAGACCCAGTCCGGACTCCTGACGCCCAGAACTGAGAGTAAGTGTGTGGTTTGAAGCCACCCAGTTGTAGTCTGTGGTCACAGTGGCAATAGGAACCCTGCTACAGACATAACAGCCCCACCCCGTCCCGGGGTCCTCTTTGCCAGGTGAGGAAACAGGCAGGTCCAGCCAAGATGACCAAGCCGAGCGCCTTGTCACCAGGGCCAGGGTGGTGGCCTTCAGCCAGTGCTGCCCAGCCACCTGGCCCCACCCCATCTCTCCCTTGGGTACTATGCAGTGACTGGTGTCCTTAACTCCAGAGCTGACCCCCAGGGAGGCAGGAGTCCACAGTGTGGTGACCCATGGCTCCTAGGCTTAGCCTTGGGGGGAGGCAAGGGGCCATCACAGCTGAGACACCATCTCTGGGCAGGGCATCCCAAGTCCTGGCCACACCCGTGTCAGCTTCCCTTTATCCACCCCAGGGAGGCCAGAGGCCTTGGCTCTGTCCTGTCCCCGGGACTGGAGCCACTGGAATGGGGCGGTGTGAGTCAGCCAGCAGGAAGGGACACTTGCAGCCACTTGCATCAGCTGTTCCTGCCATGTGGCCCACAGGCAAGACACCCGAGGGCCCAGACATGAGCCTGCCCAGCCCATGGCTCACCAGGGGGCCCTGGGGGCCTGTGGGGTCCGTCCTGGGAGGCCAGACAGGTGAGAGACCCTGACACCACCTCCCCAACACCCACAGCCCGTTGCTCACTGGCCCTGCTGCTCACTGACCCTGCTCCCCTCTCTCCAGCGGGGGCCAGCCGGGTGCCCGCTCAGAGCTGCTCCCCAAAGGCATTGGCCTGGGAGGAGAGAGGTCAGATAGCCCTGCAGAGGACCCAGCCTTGGTTCCCCCAGTGGAGGCTACCCCCCTGCACCCCGCATGACACCCACCTGCACCCGCTCAAGTTGACCCTCACATGCGCCCTGCGTTGCTCACACACAGACGCGCAGCAGTATTGGGGAGCTGGATCTTTTCTTACATTGGGGGGAAAGGTGTTTATCGTCACCTCCTGGTGGAGTCACCAGACAAAATGCGAGACTCCCAGTTAAATTCAAATTGCAGATAAACAACGAATAATTGGGAAATACTTATGCACGGGACAGACTTACGCACGGGACAGACTTATGCCAAAAGTGACTTGTTCGTGTAGTGCTCAAGTGTAACTGACAGAACTCCGGTCGCTTCCCAGCTGCCCCAGACGCTCACAGCTGCAGCCAGGCACCTTGGCCCCTTTGAGACGACTGTGCTCAGACCCAGGTCTAGGGAGGGTCCTCGGGCCAGGGAAAGGGCGGGGGCATAGTGAGGGTAAGAGCCGCCAGGAGCAACCTCTAAGTTGCACCCACCCCGCAATTTCCAGATGAATAGACGCTGGTAGCAGCAAGGGGTCAGCAGAAACTCCATCCCCCTCTTGTCCAGCTGTCTCAGTCAGGCGCCTTTCATATTCGTGGCCACTCGGAATGTCATTCCACACGTCTTCTGGCACCCCCTTGGCCTCTGCCCCCCTACATCTCTGGGGAAGGACCAGGGGAGGGGGGGCCTGAGTGCCCTTGAAGGGGACCAGGCAGAGGGGGAGAAAGCAGCGGCCAGTTTCAGGACAGGCAGACAGGCCAAGACGGGTCCCCGGGGACTAGGGATGTTGAGTGGGGATGGACTAGGGGGCTCTGTACTCATCTTCAGGAGCATGTGTCCCAGGAGCTGATTTGAGGGCAATGAGCTGGTGCCCAGAGATGGGGCTGGTGGAACCCCGGTGAGGGGAAGGGATGGGGGGGCATCTGGGAGCCACAAAGGTTAGCGCCTTCCAGTACCTTCTCCCCGTGGTAGCCCAGCCCTCCAGGGCAATCCCGACTCCCCCTCCCAGGCTGGCTACCACCCCTGGGGCCCTTGGGTGGGGTGGGGGCATCCCAAGGGTCCAGCCTGCTCTGCCCAGCCTCCCCGTCTAGCCCACTGGCTGTGTCCCCGCTTTGCCTGGGCTGGACCTGCCCCTGCTCGCCAAGACCTCACTCCGGAAGGAAGGAGGAAGCAGGCCCCAGTAAGCTCGGCAGGCCCAGGTGCGGGCTTGGGCGCAGGCTTCCTGACCCTGGGGGCTGGGGGAGGCAGGCCCCATCACTTCCCTCTGCCCAGGGGCCGCCCAGCACCTTGGCCAGCTTGGCCTGTAAACAAGGGCCGGCTGCCCTAAGGAAGGTTCCATGAATCAGGCTGTGGGCCTGGCAGCCAGCGCCTGGCAGGGTTGGGGTGCAGCCCAAAGGCGTAGGCACACGCCGTGGGCACTCACATGAATACACGCGTGTGCACGTGTGTGCAAGCGCTCGTGTGCATCAGGCAAGTGTTGTGCATGCGGGGGACACGTGCAGGAGCCCACACGTGTGTGCAGGTACCAGCTAGTTCCACCCATGGAAAAGCTCCAGGCACCTCCTGCACCCACAGATGGAGCTCTCTACAGCCCTACCCTCTGGAGCCAACCCCACAGCGGGGTTGGGTGCCTGCGAGGGATTGGGGATGTGGGGAGGAGGGGGGTGCACGGCCCAGCTCGCCTGGTGGATGGAAGCAGTGAGTCTCACCCTGAGATGATCCTGCCCCCTAGACGGACACTTGAGACATCTGGAGAAATCCATGGTTGTCACGACTGGGGGGGTGGGGTGCTATTGGCATCGAGTGGGTGGAGGCCAGAGATGCTGCTCAATATCCTGCAGTGCACAGGACGGCCCCACCCCAGAGAAGGATCCGGCCCCCATGTCAGCAGTGCTGAGGGGGAGAGACCCTGCGTGGAAAGACCCCAGAACCGGGGGCTGTCTTCCCATCCCTGTTCCCTCAGTTTCCCAACTTGCACACCCAGGGCTCCCGAAGGCCTATGGCAAGCAAGGAATGTGTAGATGAAGCAGATAAGGAACATGTAGACGAAGCAGATCCTTTGAACTGGGCCAAGGCGGGCCCAGCTTCTGGCTCTGGGACCAAACCCACCTGAGCCAGGCCTCCCGCCCACACCTGAGTGGGAGCAGACCCAGAGAGAGGCCTGGCGAATGGCAGACCCAGGTATATAACCGTCGGAGGGGAATGGGTCACTATGGCGGTCAGTCCCTGGGCTCTGGGTTCCCTGCTCCTACATCGCTGTGTCTGGTAAGTCTTGCCCTGGGACAGCTCACAATAGCGGCACGCTGGACAATGGTTCAGGCGGCACTACGCACAAGCATGCGCACACACATACCCACATGCTCAAGTAGGCGCTGGGCCACGTTCTCCAGTTCAAGTAGTATTTGGTGAGCCCTCTCAGAGGGCAAGGTCCTGTGCTCAGTGCTGGGACCCGCAACATTGTGGAGCAGCATTCTGGAGGGAGATGTGACCCTGCACTGCACACCTGCAGGCGACCACGTCCATGCCATCCATACCTAGAGGCCCCCATCGCCCCCCGGGGCAGGGTGGGGAGGACGAGAAGGGAGCTGGAGGCCTCCCTTGGGCAGGCAGGTCAAGCAGCCCCATCCAGGCACTTGGGACAACGTGCAAACCGGCACATACACACACATGTGCATTCGCACGCATGCACACACACCCAGGGGGCAGCGAGGGCAAGGGTCTGGCTAGGGCGTTCCCAGCACACTCCTCCTGTGGCCCAAGCTTTGGCCTTGGGGGCAGTGCGGAAACAGATGCTGCCAGTGGACGAGCCGTTCTGGAATTGGAGAGTAGTGATGGTTGCACAACCTTGTAAATGTACCAAATGCCACTGAATTGCACACTTTAGAACGTTAATTTTATGTTATATGATTTTCCCCTCAATACACAAATTTTAAGAAAATAAAGTGGGAGCCATGGCAAGTTTTATTAACAAGAGCATCACCTAAAGGCGTCACTGTATTCCGGGTCCTGGCAGATAAGCTGGTGTGACTGACTGCCCCGTGTAAGACCCAGTGGGGGGGGGTCTCGCGGGTCCTCGAGCCTCAGGCAGTCCCAGAAAGGCCACCGCCTGTCCCCTGCCGCCACCGTTCGGCGCCAGGAACCCCCCAGCCCCGCCATGACCGAGCTGCGCAGGCGCGTGCGAGCGAGCACGGACACGCCCCGCGCCCGGAACGCGCAGCCGCACTAGGCGTCCAGAAGGGCACACTCCAACCTCTAGCCCACACTGCGCAGCCGCACTCAGCACCTTGAAGTGCACGTCCTGCCCGGGAGCGCTCACCGCGCAGCCTCACTGGGCGCCCCGAAGAGCAGAACGCACACTGCGCAGCCGCATTGGACGCTCCTAAGCGCACGTCCTGCCCGCGGGCCGGCACCGCGCAGCCGCACTGGGCTCACTGCAGCCCACCGCCCCACATGCCCCACCCCCGAGCGCGCGGGGGCGGGGCCTGCAGCGGGGCGGGGCCT